AGCATCCCCTCCATCAATCTGATCCTGATTCAATCCGATATAAAGCCCTCCTCGCCAATGAAACCTCAGCAGAATCTCATCCTCTAAACACGCTCGCTCTTCAGCTAGTCCATAAAACCCAGCTCCTCACTGACTACAGCTTCAACTACAAAGCCATTATTAAAGAAATTGACAAAAATCTAAAAGACACTCATTATTTTAATAATAGATCCATATACCGAATGTGAATACACTTCCTCAGATTTAAGTGTGTGGGGCCTTGTCGTCTGCTCTCCTCTCAATAGTTCAAAGAGAACGCATGTTCTTTCATTCGCCCAAATACTTAAAAACCAATAGCCTCATGTAGCTTGCTATCTACTAAAAAGTGCTCGCTCTTTTTTATCCATGATGCATTAGTGCTTTATAAATAACCAAATAACAAGTGGATTGCATGAAACACTTCACAAGACGGTCCTCAGCCTAAACCCAAACAATCCCGACATCCATTTGAATTACTCTGCGAACTTATTTGCGTTGCAGTAAACAATCCCCGAGAGAAGCAGCAGGGATGGACCCAACAAAGTGTAGCGATGGGTTTCATACATCAGACGGTGTTTTCCTCACATTAAAAGCAGTTGAAAAAGCACAAAAGGAGAAGCCAGGAGCTTTTCAAGCTGGGAAAAGTGTGCGCATTTCCATAACAGAATGACGTGAAGTTGGGAGCATAATAGAGGAGCATTTGCGGCCTCCGGCTGAGTGGATGGGCAGGATGGTTTGATGCGTGAAAACAGCATGCGTCGTGATTATAGCGGCTCTCAACTTGAATTCCAGATCACTCTGAGGAGATGACAAGGAAACGCACAGTCGAGACAGGAAGTTCAAAGGAAATATCCTGTTAATTTGGCCCTGAGCGCTGATGTACACAGAAACATGTTTTGGACTCGCTCTCTGATAATGCGGAGAGTCAAAGCCATTATACAGACAAACACAGAACAGCCTTTAAACGGAAAACCTGCGAACAGTCTGTTTGTGGTTAAAAAGCAGCTGAGATACGAGTTTTTCATTCAACAGCATCTGCTGTACTGCATGATCACATTTAATATGTTTGCATTGATTTTTTTTTTTTCACTTTGGTTCATGATTCTTGCATTTTTTTTTCTCTGTTTCTCAGCGTTATGATCTGAGATCGAGGATTATGGGTCGGTTCATTATGCGTCTTT